AATTGTCTCATTTATTGTTAAATGATAATTTTGTATATGGAATATGCTGGCGCTATATAAATACTAGTAATAATAATAATAATAATAAAAACACTTCATTTAAAATCTGCTAGCTATGTACACCTACCTCCACGGATACCATCCTTGACATATATAATTTTGCAACATGGATGTATGAAAACACACATTTTACTATTAATGCCCATAGTGTTGCCGGACATTTACTTTAATTGCCTATTTATTTTAAATATTTATATATTACATATATTTTTTAAAGAGCTATAAGAGAGTTTGCGGCTATCAACTAATCTTTTTATCTGTACACCTAGCAGAGACCGGAGGCCTAATTTTTTGCAAGATACGAATTTGAGGTAATTTTTACCAACTAGAATGGAAACTAAATGGTAAGTGGGTTTTGCAAGTCCTTTTCGTATCATCTGTAGAAATCAAGTAAACCTTAGGCATCCACTAATTCCAGTCACTAAACTTTACACTTTGTAACATATATGCAGCCACAAATGCTAGTGACCGCTATTTTTTCAATCATCAACTTGTTAGTAAAACCATGGAAACAAGCACACAGATTATCTCCATCATCATTTAACTCCTTTGATTGCTTCCCAGTTACATTTTTTTAACACTTTAGTAAATAGAGGCTTTTATTATATGTCCTAAAATACAAAGCAAGTGAATAGATGACGCTGTAGCAATTTACATCACAGAAAAACTTAAATTGTAAAGAGCTGCACCTATGTAGTGTAAATAAGCTCTATCACACACTTACAGTAAAACATAAGGCAAGCTTGTTATTGTGCCAACTTGTTTCTGTGCCAAACCGTGTTATAATAACACCATAAATTTATAAAGTGCAATATTTTAAGTGTACACACAGTGATACACTTACTGTACAAAAAATGCAAATCTTCAATAAAATCTCCAGAACATAAAAAAGAAACAGAAACGAATAATAGTTTAATGCTGTATATACAATATAAGTGTAAAGTGCCAATGCTTATGACTCGCAAAAGGAGAGTAGTGCAGCCTGCTCTAACTGTGATGGCTCCAAAAAAAAACAAATAAGGCAGCTTGGTCTGTAGTCAGGAATTTATTATTGCAGGGGAACAAAACAACCTTAATATATAAATGGTCCTCCCAGCCAGCTTGTAACCAAAGGTTCCTTTGTTGTTTAGATGCTGGCTTTCTCTAATACACTCGGTGCTCGGGTGCCGCTCTTTGCTTTTTCAAGGAGGCGTGGTCTTGGTCCCTCTGGCGTACTGATGTTCTTACAGGATAATGCGTTTCGCCGTGAAGACGGCTTCATCAGATCTGCCAGTCCTCCGCTGACCACAAATGTGGGCGTTATCAATTAGTCCCCACAGAGTCAGCCTGATTGACTGGATGTCTCTATGCAAATTTTAATTCCAAGCCATATACAAATGTTCAAGTCCATTTAAAGAAACATACAACTTTAATCTATATTATAAAACTACCCGCTCACAAATTATTAAAACTAAAAATCTTTATTCCATAATTTAAAAAAATGAAATTCACAAGCACAAGAAATTAACACTTGTGTAAGGCAGTTAATAAAACATATTAATTTTAATAAAAATCAAAAAATATCTATAGAAATAATATATGTAAATAAAAAAGGTAAATAATTTCTTGAACTTATGAGAAAAAACTCATGTGTAATTGAAAGCTTAACTAGGAATATATATATATACACATTACATTCCTTAAAGGGAAAGACCTACTGAATGGAAAGACAAAAATACAGACTAAAACACAGCTTTTTTAAATATACAAATTAAAACACTGATAAAACATCAAAAGATATCATAAAAAGTTGTATAAATCAAATTCAATATTTAAACCTTTAGGTTCTAAAGTTTTTAATTTATAAACTCACTTAATTTTCTTCTTTGCCAATTTTTTTTTACTATCTGAATACCTAAAATTGTAAGACCCCTTTGGTCCTTATTGTGATATTTTTTTAAATGCGCAGACACAGCCTTCCAAGATATTGTTAATGTGTTCCTATATTTTATGTGGAGGGAGTGGATAGTACGTCCCACATACTGCAATCCACATGGGCAAATCAAAGATAAATTACATTCCTACTAAAACATATAATAAAACCTCTTGTGTAAAATTATTCATCAGTATGTTTAGTAGTAAATTTGCTTATGCATTTTAATGGCACAATAACAAGCTTGCACAAATAATTTGATACATATTTAGCACTTAAGACAGATAAATATTTGCATGTCTTAAAGACACAGTGCACCTTTTAAAAACAATTTATGTTTTATTATATATCCACACTCTTTCCTTTTTTCCATAGATTGTATATTGTGAAATCTATTTAAAATATGGAAGTGTACACGAAAATACTTTGCATCAAATTTTCTGTCCTTCCTAGGAATTCAATCTCCATATAATGGCCTCCAGTAAATCATATGTTGAGAAGAAGGTCATGTGAATATTTCATTTTCAAGTGATTACCCTAAAATTTTAATATTTGAAAAACAACTGTAATTCTTGGGCAAAATAAAACACTTTAAAGGGACGCTATAGTCACCAGAACAACTACAGCTTATTAAATTTGTTCTGGTGAGTCGAATCATTACCTTCAGGCTTTTTGCTGTAAACACTGTATTTTCAGAGAAAATGCAGTGTTTACATTACAGCCTATTCACTGGCCACTCCTTAGATGGCTGTTAGAGATCCTTCCTGGGTCATGGCTGCCTAAAATGCACCCAAACATTCAGTGTCTCCTCCCTCCTCATGCAGACACTGAACTTTCCTCATAGAGATGCATTGATTCAATTCCTCTCTATGAGGAGATGCTGGTTGGCCAGGGCTGTGTTTGAATCATGCTGGCTCTGCCCCTGATCTGCCTCTTTGTCAGTCTCAGCCAATCCTATGGGAAGCATTGTGATTGTATCAGGCTACCACTTCTGCTGATGTCAGCAGGCAGTGGGCAGGTCTAAAGGAAACAGTGACAAAGCATGCAGCTCCAGACTTGAATTCAAGTAAGATTTTACAATATTTAGGGATGCATGAGGGGACCATGGGGGCTAGATGGTGGTTGTAACCCTATAGGGTCAGGAATACATGTTTGTGTTCCTGATCCTATAGTGCACCTTTAAAGAACACAAAGAGCAACTGCAATTATTTTGCAAATAAATATAGGAATCTGTTTTGCAGTCATTATCTTTTTTAAATATGTAATTATACAGAGATGGAAGCAAAGACAATTAATATCAATGAGAGTTACTGCATTATGTCTGAACCTTATAAATATAAATGTTTTGAAATGCTGTTGGATCTACATTCTTAACAGCTAATCAAACAGCTGGCCAAGTTCCTGGAGGATGTTAGTGTAGACCAACGACACACTGGTCTTCCCAAATCTATGTAACTGGTATTCAATGCAGAAGTTCTGGTGCCTGGAATGCACCTCCATTTTAAGTGGTCATGTCATTTTGGAATGGTATGATTTATTACCTGGGGTGAAAACCAAATGGCACCTGAGGTCCATTGCCTCTAATGACAGAGAGCCAGATGTTTGGCTTTTATAAATGCAGCAGATATGAGGGCAGTCATTGTGCATCATGAACAGTCCAGTTTATATCAAATCATTAAATAATAATACTGGGGTGATAGTGCCCTCTGAGCCCCCAACTGTGACCAAGCTGGCACATAAACGAATGTCGGAAGTCTTGAAAGAAATTTATTTAATTCTGATAATTTTGTTCAGAAGACCCAACAAATCTTGCAATGACCAAGTCTATAATTTGCAACACCTGCATGTTTATATGCACAAACTATCTCATCCTATAGACTGTAAGCTTGTTTGAGCAGGGTCCTCTTCAACCTATTGTTCCTGTACGTTTTCTTGTAATTGTCCTATTTATAGTTAAATCCTCCCTCTCATAATATTGTAAAGCGCTACGGAATCTGTTGGCGCTATATAAATGGCAATAATAATAATAATAATAATTTGTCATAAGTAATAAAGTAAATTGTAATTTGTTAAAAATAATTTAACGTATCTAAAATTAATGTTAAATATGTTAAATATTAATGTACACTATAGGATTTATTCACTAAAGTGAACATAGTTTGGAATTCAAAGTGAATTTCAAATGTAAGGCCAAGTTAGACAAACCTAATACAGAATTGAAATAAATTGTTTTAAATCTGCAAATTTGTCCTACATTTTTAATATTGAATTCATTTTCCTGGGAATTCTTTAGTGAATAACCCTGATTACTTTATGAAAAACTTACAACAAAATGTAAGGGTTCTTTTTAGGTAGTTATGTCAATGTTTTACTAAAATTGTAACCTAATGAATTTATGTCACTAACATTTATATTTGTGAACAATGTCTGAGAAAACAAGCAAACAAAATACAATTGATGAGAATTATTTGTGACATTAATAAAAGAAACTAAGATAGATGGATGGACAGACAGAAAGATAGATGGATAGACAGAAAGATAGATGGAATGACAGAAGGACGGACGGTCAGTCTGTCAAGATGGTCAGTCAAGAGAGGACTGACAGATATACATAAACAGGATATTTCAATCCTGTGTCTAAAATAAAAGAAAATGTTGTCTAATAAGTAACAATAAACAGACAGACACACACACACACACACACAGACAAGCTTGGTTTCTGTGACTAATACAGTCGCCACTGTATATCTGACTATAATATAGTGCAAGGTATATTTTTATAATATTTATAATGTATATTGCATCAGAACGCAAATAAATACTGTAACATTAATATGTAAAAAATATACAATGCATGTGATATGTTTTGCCCATATTCATTGCATTATTTTAGCTCTCATTTTAAAAGGCACTAGATTAAACATAAAAAAATATCATGCATTTTATTTTGGTTTTAATTTTTTTATTTTATTATTGTTTTCAATCTTTATTACAAATATCCATCAAAGTAAATAAGCAGAAAAAGGCCCCCAGGGATACATGTAATATTATATTTTAAATTCTGATCTATAATATGCACACATATTGGGCAGGTGCAGATATCTCTACATGTTACTAGTGATTTATTCAGCTCCATAGACAAGGAACAGAAGCTTTTTTTTAATAGGTGAACCCAGTCATGTTTCTCACCTCCCCCGTGTTCCAAAGGCTGGTGTCTCCCAGACATGGGGAGGGCAGAGAGAGGCAGCAATCAATGAGTGAGTGGGAAGTGCCCTACACATCCACAGTATAATAACCATAGGACTAATGAGTTCATTTCACTGCCTTGATGCCTAAGGGGGGAGGCGGATCAGATCTCATCAGGGCTGGGCAGAGGAAGGGGTCAGCCCAGCAGACTGTCTCGTCTGCATTAGTCTCTCATCAGTGTCTTTATCTGACCCTGATCAGGTCACAGCACAGAAAGGAGCTGCCTGCCGCCTCTGCCTGCTGCTCGCTTGGTTAGTCGGCTGTCATTAGATTAGCTGGTTACGTGTAGTTCACACACTCACTAGAAATCCACTATAGGGGATCATATCTTAAATCATGTTTGTATCGAGGTCTACGGATAAAGTATGTAGCTGGGTTACAATATAATTATACATTAATCGAAATGCAAGCACTATGATGCTCACTATACAGCATACCTAATTCAGTCAAGGTTATTCTGGGGCAACGTTCTAAAAGTGTTCTAGTAATCATGGAAACCAATGGACTGCTTCAGTACTCCTGCTAATTGCTCCGTTCTTGCTCCCTTGTCGTCGAAGAACTTTGTATAGATAACATTCGTTAATTGTAAAGCTCAATTAGATGCCTGAACTCTTGTTATGTGCATAGCAGCAATCTGGACCCCGAGATGCTGCCCAACTGATAGATCACAGATCAAGGCTTAGCTTCCTTAATATTATTATTGGACAGCCATAAAGGGGTTAAGAGAACATTTAACAGTGGATTAACCCTTTAAGTGCAAGATAATCGTGACAACTCTTGCACAGAGTCTACTGGCGTGCAAAAGGTTAAAGGAGGATACAAAGTTACTTATGTGTAAAGGAATTCAGACCCCTAAAGATGGATGTGTAGGAAACATTAATGTATTTAAATAAAAGCAGTATGTTTTCCTTGCATTCATTACGTGTGCAATCAATTTAAGTAGATGTTGGACCGCCAGCCATGGATATAGGTAAGTGGTCTGGCATGCCATGGTTTATACTGTGGAAGAATGCACAATCCCAGCATAATAGCTGCAAGGATTAAGAAGAAACAAAAGTGCATGGTAATGAGAAGAGACTCCACCAACCACCCGCTGCTGGGGAACTGACTGCGCTGTCTGTCTGTCTGCTGCTGCTGCTGGAGGCTGCTGTGTGCTAATGCCGAGTAAAGAATGAGGGATCAGGGAAAGTTATTTACATGACGGGGGAGGAGGGATGGGATTGGGAGGACAACAACCAGGAATTGGTGAGGTTATAGGACAGCATTTTATTAAAACAAATCAAAATAGACTAAATGATAATTATAGATTGAGATTGAATGTACAATGATGGGCGGATGGGCAGACAGACAGACAGATGTGTTCAATTTGTAGAATGCATGCCTATATCTTGCAGCATGATAACGATCTTCAGATCAGGATCAAGATAGATGATAACATGTATCCAGAGACCGACAGAAATATAACAGATAATAAAACAGTCTGTGATATTTGGAAATGGCAATGAGAGGGTTAAATGATGTGACAGGTGAGTAGTTATAGTAGGTAGGTGTACACATGTTATATACACACACAGTGCAGTAGGAGAATGCAATGCTATGTAAATCGAGGCATGGTAAAGCCAGGCACCTGGATGGGAGTTTTCCAGAGATGCTGAAGTGCCTGGAGCCCAAAGCACAGTTTGTGTTGAGGGGCTCTCCGGCCAGGCTGTAGACAGAAAGCCCCCTCGCGTTGCTTTGTCCCCTCTGTGCGTATTTTCAGTTCGGGGCCCCCTGGCTCCCTGCAGTCAGGCTCCATAGAAGTAAATGGGCGCTGCGCTGAGATGAGGTGCAGACCTGGGTCAGCTCTTTGTCTCCGAGGTCTGTGACCTCCCACCTCTGATGAGTGATCATGATAGGATCAGGGCAGGCGGCCCATGCTGCCACACTGCTATCAGACTCGGCAGCCTGCACTCAGGCACACTGGTGTGTTGGGAAAAAACACACACATAGGAGGAGGGGTGCTAGGGGAGAAAATAAAGGAAACGGAAGCCATCCAAAAGAGTAATAGTAGCAGGAGCAGTCTATCCAACAGCAGCACCAGCAGAGGGACCCTCCTCTTATCACCCCCTGTCCTCAGTCCAGCCAGCAGTTGCTGTGTGATACAGTCTGTGATACACTCTGTGATACACTGTAACACGCTACACCCTGGGTGACTCGCTTGGATCATCGTGCTACACCAGACCCTGCTTCTCCTATTGGGAACATGTACCCCTGTCTTTCCACCAGCAAGTCCTCGCCAATGGGTGTCACATCTCCTGGGATTATTGCATTTATTGCCTGGATGCTTGTACTCTGCGCTTTTTTTCAAATGTCCCTTGGATCCTCATTCTTGACAGGTAAGGTCTATGCCTGTTACTTGGCCCATATTTTGTTTGCAAATGTGTCCTTAAACTAGTCCTTCTATTAACAATGTGTGTTCATGTAAATCAATAGCATAATAGCAAATAGAAAAAAAAGAATAATAAAAACAATCTATATATTGTTTATTTTTTATTTTTTTATTATTGCATTATATATGTAATATATTATATTATCTAGTGTACATATACATGCTGCATAGTGCATTATTTATATATGTGTATACAGAATGCAAGACACACTTCCCATCACATGTGGATAGTCACTTAGGTGTATTTTTTATTTATTTTTTGCTTCCTGTGTACTAAATACACGTGGCTGCATTTGCAATCACATACTTTCTATGGAGCTGTCATAGCTATTTGTAATATAAAACATAATTATGATGGAAAATAAAACATAATTAATATGAAACAGATGATTATAAGAACATTTTATTGTTTTTCATTTTTATTTTTAATAGCAAGAGTTCATATGTAATACCATAGTATTTCTACCGAAGCCTCTATGAGCAGCTGGGATCATGTTTCAAGTGATTAGTTATTGCGGTTATTAAATGTTTGTGCATAATCCCACTTACAGCTCTGTGATTGGCATTATTGTATTCTCGTAAAGCTTTACATACATAAGGCAGGTGCTTTTTAACCAAGACCCAACAGCTCTCCACTGTAGATCTACAAAGCACATCTCACCCATATGACTGCACTTAATTGAATGAAAATATGAAATCTAGAGAGAACAGTATGATTGCTGGATATAATTACATGTTTGTAGGCAGGTAAGGACCCAAGATATTTTTGAAGGGCATACCTCAGTGACACCTGGTGCATGCAGAAAAATCTTTAAATTCATCAAGTAAAAAGCTGTAGAAGTGTTGAATTTCCAAAAAAGAAGAAAAAAAAAGAAGTGTGATGTGATGTGAGATAATCTTAAAATGATCATGGAGGGGTTAAGAGGTTGTGATGGGGGTACAACAATGCTCCTTCACATTTTATGAAAAACTGTCTCTTTATGGGATGAAAAAATGTGATAGATCATCAAATGTGTGAACGATATGAGCTCACACAACTAACCTACCTGCTGTCATGACTTTTACTAAATAAACACATCTCAACTCAGGACAACATGTAACAACGAGAGAGAACCAAACTTTTTTTTTCTCTTCGTTTAGTCGACAGGATGTGTTTTCCCAAGTAATTGAAAGCTACCGTAGATCAGTCAACTTGGCACAGTTATTAAGATGTCTCTCAAATCACCAGATGCTTGGTGCACATTCTGTTAAAACGTGTTTTCTATATTCTGCCTGTTTAACTCATCACGTTAAGACAGTTTGCTAATACAGAGATTATCATAACATATAAGGTTCATATTATCTGCATGTTCACATTGCACTCTTTTTAATGGAGTGCAGATAATTAACCCTTTACACTTTAGCACTTCAAAGACTACAGAGAGTTAACAAATGATATCACGTTTACATGGTGAATATACATATATAAACACAGTGATATATGTTTCTATTTTGTCTTGTTCCTTATTCATTAAAGCTTTGCGCATTGTTCGATGCTTTAACACTTTAAAGGCTTCAATGGGTTAATTATGATTTATGTGCAGCAGTAGAGCTGGACCAGTAGTGAAGAATAAACGTCTGTCAATCTAGTTCGGTTTTCACTTGAACTTTTATCTCAGATGCTATAAAACGTGATCTTAGTGTCAGCCAATCTGTCATTTTTATATCTGTCAGTCATGGCACATAAATAATAGCACTAAGTATACTAAAATAAAACTCGGTGCAGTTTTAACTTTTTGTGTTTTTTTTTTTTTGTGTGTGTCAAGAGTTAATGTATTGCATTTATATTGGTTCCCTTTTCTTTAAGGGTCAGTTGCAAAATGTGAAAATGAAGGAGAAGCCTTAACCATTCCATCCATCACCGACAACCCCTGTATCTCTTGCTACTGTGTGGTGAGTTTTGAAGCTTTTAAAAGTCAAAATCCTGTCTGCAATACAGACTGTTATATGGTATGCTGTGTAGCTGAATGTTAGTGACTCACAGCACGAACAGGAAAGATCATTGTCTTTACAAATAAAGAGTTAATGTATTTTCTAAATCCTGTGTAATCCATCACAAGTAAAGCAGAGAGAAAGCAATTTATATTAGCTGTTTGTTTGGTACCGAATTAGCAGTGCAAGCAAGTAATGACTTAGACCAGCATCTCCTTGATTGCAATTTCTAAAAACCAATAACAGAAACAATTTTAGTCAATTTTATATGGTAACTTGCACTTTTATTAACAATAATAATTACTTAATAACTTTCAAACCAAGGTCCTATTAACCCTTCTCTATTTGACCTCACATTTGCAGTCACTTTAAGTTTTTTCTATATGCTAGTGAGCTAGTCACTTTTTGCATTCAATAATATCTTTGGAAATTAAGGTAGACCAGTTAGATAATGTGCCTTAGTTAGGAAACCTAATGTTTTTTTATTGACCTGTTCTATGCAATATGATCTTATTATTCTGAATCTATAATATAAACTGAATTATGATTTGCTAACCGGATTACAGCAGTAAACTTGATAATATATGCTGTGACTGGCAAGCTGGCTTAAACCTCATCATGCTGATTTGTATTTCCCATTACAGTTTGTTTTCATCCATATTATCAAGCTTATATTTCTTTTTGTGTGTTGTATCAAGCCATATATGTAGTTTGGAAAACTTTATATAACCTTTGTTGAATGATAGAGAATAGACAGTTTGTCTCTCAAAAAGTCCATAGATGTAAATAACAAATACATTTTTGTAAAAAAATAAATTAAAAAAATGCTTACTATGAACTACTCATTATTTTATCATCAAGTATACAACTAAACATACAATGCTTGATTCAACTGTCAAATATAGAAGTAAAAACTGCATTGTGTATTTGAATACAGTTTTTTACAGTTTTTTTTCCATAGTACAAAGCACAATTTTTATAATGTACTGTAACCCTTAAAGTACATTAACCGTTTCAGTATATCTCCTCATGCAATACTGCAGTGGAACAAATACTTAAATCCACTGTTACAAGGAAATGTATTTCAGTCAATTTTTATTTGAAATGTCTAAATCTTTAGTTTATTTTTACTGGTTTGGAATTCTTGAAACCCTCTACGTGTGATTGCAAGGGACTTTTGTGAATTTATATATATATATATATATATATATATATATATATATATATATATATATACACATTGACATTGATATATATACACATTGACTAAGACATTTGAATTTCCTCTTAATTGAAAGAATGCATCAAGGTGCTTTTCAGAAATAATTGCATCATGTTAAATAAAGCTGTTATGATAAGAAACCTAGAAAGGTATGTCAATGGGTTTGAACTGAAAGATTTCTTTGGACACTGTGTACTTTGTTTCTTGCATTAGGGGCATT